GGCGCCTATGGTTATGGTTCAGGTAAGTTAATCTTTATCATTGCATCAATCCCATTGGTGATGCAATTATTGTATAGACAAAAAGAAATAGTTCAATTAATATTTTTCCTATCATTATCCAAAAAACGTTTTTGGCATTGTCTAGATCAGTCTTGGTTATTACATATTATATTTATTTCTAATAATGAGGGATACATAATAATAACTGATGTCAAATCTGAGCAAGGCCCAATAAGATCATCCACAAAGTAAGTTTCAAATTCAAATATTTCGCCAAAATCATTTTACTTTGACCCGAGCGTATAGATGGCGCCACATATATAAACTTTTTTTTTTTAACATGGGAGTTACCATTTTATATCCCCCTTTAAACCTTATTCTATGGTTCCATGTTCAGAGCCGATGATTTATCCTAAATTAAGTATTTCTATATTGTTAAATTGGATCAGTGTTACTGAAGATTCTACAGGTTACAGGCCCCAGTGCTTGAATCCCCTAAAAAAATCTGTGAAAATTGAGCAAAGGAAAATAGAAATTGGAATTATCGACAGTCGGTAAAGAAGCGGCTGACGTGAAAGGAAATTGTCAAAATCACAGTCCTACAAAATGTTATAAAGCCATTTGATGGAAATGGTTACTCTAACTGGGAATTTAGAGTTAAATTGTTGTTAGAGCACCAAAATGTACTAGAAATTATAAGTTTGGATCCACCTAATCCAGAATCACGTGAAATGGCAAACTTCAAGAAGAAAGATACTAAGGCAAGATATTTAATTTTAAATTGCTTATCTGATCACGTGGAGGAAATGATGAAAGGAAAACCAACAGCCAAAAAAATAATGGAAACATTAAGACGCACATATATGAAAACAGGTGTCGCAAGTCAAGTACACTTGCAGCGAAAATTAAGAAACTTGAAGTTTTCTGGAAAAGAGCCCCTAAATGACTTTCTCATGGAATATAAACGAACCGTGTCTTAACTAAGAAACTGTGGTGGTTCTATTCAAGAGAATGAAGTGATTTCACAGTTGCTTGCTGTAATGCCTGACTTCTATCAGGGTGTGACAACAGCACTTGATGTGTTATTTTGCCAAGGAAGTACAGTAACATTAGAGTTTGTTAAAAAAAACTGTTATCAGAAGAAACAAGACAAATTTAAAAATGATATACAAGAACAAGGCTCGACTCAGGCTTTCGCAGGATTTAGAAAGAAATAGAATAAAGGAAACTACAATAGAACTGAGGATTGTAGAGGAAATCAAAATAATGCAGAAAATTCAAGTGAAATTCGTGGACATAGGCTCAGAAAATTTCCATATAAATGTCACTATTGTGTTATTAAAGGCCACAAAAGATCACAGTGTTTTAAAAGAAAAGAAAATTTGACTGAAAATAGATGTAACTTGACTGAGGAACACTCGGAACAACACGAAGAAGATGTGTCCTTTATTTCAACCATTGAAGCTATGGCATCATCAAAGCGACAGTTTGGTGACTTTTGTTGTTGATAGTGGAGCGAGCAATCACCTTGTGAATAAAAGTGCTAGCAAATATTTAACTGATGTTAGAAATGTACATTACAAAGTGCATGTGGCAAAGGTTGGAGAAGTGATAATTGGAAAGAGGCAAGGAAATCTACATTTAAATATTGAAAATGGAAAAAGTATCCTTACAGAATCAGGATTGTTCTGTCTTCCACACCGAAAACAACCACTTTGTGCTTGATTGTTTTCGTTCCAGTTTATCTTATTTTGTGGACGGTTTTGACTGTTTGACTGGCTTGTACTTGGACGCTGACTGAACTTTGGTTGCTTTTTTTCCACTGCTGACACTGACATGCTTTGTGACTTAACTATTGATAGACACTACTTTGTGGAAAGACTAATTTTGATTGAATAGTTGCCATTTCATAATTTATTGCCTCTTTACGAGCTTCTCCAAATTTTAAGGTTTTCAGTTGAACAATATATTCAGTTACCGACTCATCTGGTATCTGATTCCTGCTATTGAACTTGTATCTTTCAGCGATTACTGTGTTGTAAAATATTTTTCTAGAATATCCAACATATCCATAAAGGATTTTGACGTAGGGCTTTCAGGCCGCATTAGACTTTTTAATAACTTGTAAGCGTCTGGGCCAATCAAGTTATACATAGAGGGCCTTTGTCCTCGTCCTTTGTATTATTTACCTTGAATAATTGCTACATCTGCTCAGGGCCGTAGCCAGGGGGGGGCATTGGGGGGCAATGCCCTATCTTTTAAATGATGATGCCCTACCTTTAAAAATCAACATACATTGAGGTTTCTTTAAGTCTCAAAACGCTAACCGGGTTCCTCTCGGGACACTGCAGACTCAGAAAACACCTACACAAATTAGGTCTGGAAGAAAATGGCACCTGCAGATTCTGGGAACACGGAGAAGAAATACCTCACCACCTTCTACTGAATTGTAATGCCATTAGTCGTTCAAGGATGAAGAATCTGGGAAGCCCCACCATACAGTTGGAAGATATTTCAACTCTGGAACCGCTGGATATCCTAAGATTCCTTAGGGACCTAGGACTGGAGAGGATGCTTTGAGCAGGAAGCCCTGAGCTGGCAGCAGAAGGAGGGGTACACTAGATCTACCAGGTCGCGGTGCAACTGACACCTCCAACACATACAACATACAACAAGGTTTCTTTAAAAAAATTTAAGAATACCTAGATGATGCCTGAATAAGTAGATAGGCCTGAAATTAATGCGAGGATGAATGTTTCCGAAAATGCCTAAATCTAATGAGCAATGTTTGACGTTTGCACAGTGGAAGTTTTTTTTTTGATTTGAAAGATGGCGAATGGCCAGGCGATCGGCGCGAAAATCCGCGCCATTTTGTTTACTTACCAGAGATGTTATTTATTGCAGGGTTGTTTGATAAAGGCGAGAGAGGTGGGATGCATGGGCTAGAACTCTGTAACGAATAGAGATATTTTCTCTATCCCTATTGACGTCCCCTCTCTATTGATTTCGAGAAGAGAGAAGAAGACAGCAAGTGTCATAGCGATAGGGATAACGATCTCTATACGTTACAGAGTCCCAGCCCTGGCAACTTTATGACGTCATCTGGTGTGCCTCAACATAATGCAAATCTCTATAAGGTATCCCAGATCAGATGCGTCATCAAGTTACCCATTACCATACAACCTGAACCTTGATTTATTGAAAAATTTGCCTTCGGCGCCATTAGCCCCATTTTGTTTACCAATAAAAAAATTTAAGGGGGGGAGGGGGCAAGTAGTGTATGCCCTATGTCAAATTTGTCATGCCCTATCTTAAATTTGACTTTAGCTACGGCCCTGCATCTGCTCCCTATAAGACTCAGAATCGCCTTCACTCACATTAAAATGTTCTATGCAGCTCACGAATGACATCTTTTACTGTGCTTATGGCAGACTCCTGCCTCGTCGCCAAACTATTGTCTATTTAGGTATACAGCATTGAAAGACCGGACTGGATTCTTGAAGATTGAATTTATTCAAAAGAAACTCCAAGCTTACAACATTAAACTCAATCAATTACCATAGAGGATCTTTGACAGATACTGCCATTATTTGCCTAATTATTTTTGCCCACCACTCAACATGTCACCCATGGGATGATGACCAGAGATGATGATGACTGAAAGGGTTACATTTATAATAAAGAGTTAAGCGCGTACATTACAGACAGGACTGCACCGAGAGGGAAATAGCACAATAGACCACATACGTGCTGCCTGTTCCCCTTTCAAATCAATCAATCAATCAATAAAGGTATCAGGTATTTTTCATTATGATTCTGGAAGACTCAGACAATAGGAGATTTTGGCTCATTAGCCCACTATCCGAGTTCAGCAATTACCTACTAAGTGCATATTACTTATATCTAATTAACTAAATGTTTCCCTTCTTTCCCTTAAATCAATGTTGACCAAATTAAAAATAAAAGGCAAACTCATGCACCTATATCTAAATTATTGATATTCCACCAGAAAGTTAAAATCCAAATTCCCACTATCCAGCCAATAAATTCAGTTTATAGCCTCGGTGTCTGTGGCATCAATGGAGCCCCAACCACCCGCATTTCTATAATAAATATTCCCCCAGAATCTGAGCATAGTTTGAATTTTACGCTGTTCATAACTCTGGCATTCCAGTTATTTGGATAACGTTCAGTACATGTGTATTGTATATAGGTACGCAAAGAGAAAATGATTTATTCACAAAATGTTACCTTAAATTTTTGATAGTTTCCTCGTCAATTCCAGGCACCACAGGCAACTTGCACCAGTGTTCTGGCACTGTGGCCATGAATAATTGATTGTAAGCGTGAAATCCGCATGGAAAAACGGCCGGAAACAATATGCACCAAATTACTAGTTTTTGATAGCGGCCAAATTCGCCAATACAAGGTAAAATTTTATCGAGATCCATTTTTGAATTTTTTTCACTTGACCTACTGGTACTTACTGATGGTACCTTGAAAATAAAAGTTTAATTCGTTTAATATGCTAATTGAGATGTGTAATTTTTAAATCTGAATGAGGAAGCCGCTTAATTCGATTATTGAATTAGAGCAGATTGCTCTTTTTTTTTGTTATAGTATACAGGGGCAGTAATTTGAATTGGACAATTTTTTATTTAATTGGCACTCGTTGCCATTACTAGGTAAATGGTTGAAACAACAATTTTCTAAATATAGCTTTATCAATTAAAATAAATACATTTAATTGGCACTCACAATTATTTGCCTTCTACTTCCAATAGTTATGGCTAGTTATGTTAAATTTTATTGTATATTTCTTAGATTATTTGTAAATATGTTAAGTAAAATTTTTACGGAGACATCGTAAAGTGCTCAAGTTTTATACTTCGAGGAAAATAAAAGCAAAATAATCTCGGGTTTTTATCTATACATTTGCTTAGGTGCGCTTTAGTTATAATACGTTGGCTTTTGCCACAACAAGCGATAACAAATGTGTGATAAAGATTGACTCACAATAAACATGGTTAATTTTTCAAGAGCGAATCATTGTCATTGTGCTTCGACAGTGTGATTGCGGTTGTTGTTTCTGATTAAAGCTTGTGGTGAATAAATATATACTTTTATAATTTTTGTGAGGTAGGCAAGTTTCACTTTGTGCAAAGACCTACAAGGATTTTTCTGTTTATAAGGTAAGTAGAAGTGAATTTAAACTTAAAATTGTAATTTATCGTACAGTATTATTATAACCTAACTTTTCATTGTTCCGGTTCTCGCTAGCGTACTGGCTACCCAATTATCTTCAGTAGAATACTGGCCAAAGTTTAAGTTCGTCGATTCATCTCGACTGGAATCTGCCTCTTGCTTTTTAACATATGGTTTTTATTGTATCAGTTCTGATTTCCTTTTGATGAGGCCTTTCTTCTCTGCTTCTCAAGTTGTCTTGCGAAAATCCATTTTAGATGGGTGTGTTTCTCTATAGTCGCAATCAGCATTATCCGCTCTTGATAGTTTTTCGTGAATATGAAAGTTTGATACCCATCATATATCATTAAGGGTTATATACATACAAAGAAGTACTGTCTAAAATCACGGCGAAACCCAATTTTTTCTACGAGTACAGACCGAATTTCCAACGCTATCCACGGCACATATGAACTATGTTCGAACGCATTGGCGGCTTTAGTGTGGACGATGTTCTCGAATTTTTTCCACTTCTTTTCAATTCCAGCGCCAACGACAGCACATGTGACGTTGGCGTTGGTCTACGTTGGACGCGGCTTTAGGTGATAAGAGGTGAGTCATGATTTTCGTAAATAGCTTGGGTATTTGGGATAACAGAGATATGTATAATATGTTTTCCTCATATTATTAAATATTATTTTTGGGTATTTAGATCGTTATTCTCTTCTGTAACTTTTTCTGTCATCAGGTACCTACTTCGTTATTTTTCTTTGTCTTCTTTGAGAATTGTTGATATCAATTTATTGATTTCTTATTATTATATTGTAATTTAGTTGCCATCGCCAAGACTTCTTTGCCTCATTAATTTCTCTCTTTCTTCTCTCATCCTATCCTTTTTTAAGTGTTTGTTTTTTTGCAACTTTATATCCTGCTTGTAAAAGTTGTTTATTTTATCATTGATGTGTTTTGTATGTCATCTACGTCTGATTCTTCTCTTATGCCCTTAACCAGGAATTCGCATTCGGTACCAATGTTGACCTTTAGTGTCTCAAAATCCTCATAGATAAGAGTATTGAATAAAACCGTCCTTTGGTGTTGGTGTTTGTAGACTTCCAAAAGGCGCTCGACACTGTGGTACTTCCTGCAATCTTGGGATAACGACAAGAAAGTAGAGTTGATCACCGATACTGCGAAATTATTAAAAACATATATGGAAACGCAACGACCACCGTGAATCTTCACTTCACCACGAACATCAAAATTCCACGCAAGAAATGAGCCTAAAGATGAACTTCTACAAAATCGAAATGATGTCTAATTTGGTTCCCAGTGAGCAAATACAGATTGGCAATAATTACATAGAAATAGTGGACAACGTACACCTGGGTCATGAGATGAAAATTCACAGAGATAACCAAACATGCGAATTGACGATAATAATAACCTTGAGACGAGCAAAAAATGAAGGATGTGTTTAGGGCTGAGATTTCAATATCCCTGAAGCGAAAAGTTTTTAACCAGTTTATCATTCCAGTCCTGACCTATGGTGCGGAGACATTGACTTTCACCAAGGCATCAGCAGAAAAGCTGAGAGTAACTTTTACGTACCGATACGATCTGCAACGTTTACTGACTAATAATGGTCCATTCACCATAGCGTTTGTCACTAGCAAGGAGAAAGGATATATTGAGAAGAGGTTAACCCAATACTTGACACTCCTCCTTCCTGCATGAAATAGTTTACGTTGTATAATTGCCAAGATAGGCTGGTGGACGCCTAATTCTGGCTGGACGATTCAACGGATAACTCCTTTTGGGCTCGTCTAACAATGCAGGGAATGATACTTTTGGCACTTGCTCTGGTATTTTGACTGGTATATGCCTATCATCCTCTGTTGGAGCAAAAACCTCAACGCTGTCGTTCACTGGTGGGCATTTGGTATTGTGGAGGCACAGGCCCGTATATCCGTTTGTTCTACCGTATCTCTGGCATGTAGCGAGTCTGTGTGACGTTTAACGATTTTACCGTCTGGGGTAGCCACTTTGTAGCTTACTGGTTCTGTTGCTTCTACCATTGATGCAGCCACCCATTTTGATCCTGAGGTGTAAGATCTGGAATAAACTGGATCATTTTCATGAAACATTCTCAAAGGTTTCGGATGATATGCTGTTTCTTGTTTTGATTTCACATCACTAAGAAAATCGGAAAAAAACTTTGTCCAACAAAGTACCTAATCAATCTTCGACCCATGAGAATCTCAGCTGGAGATTTTCCTGTCATAGCATGAGGTGTAATATGTTGTGTCAATAGGTATCTACTAAGTGGAATTGTAAAGTATTTTCCTACACAATTTCACAACATCTTTTTTAATGCATTTTTCGCATTTTGCACCATTTTCTCAGCTTGCCTGTTGCTACTTGGATGATACGGTGCGAACAAAACTTGTCTTATCCCATTGCTCTGTAGAAATTCTCGAAAATCCGAAGCGATAAAACCAGATCCATTATTAGACACACAAACCTCTGGAATTCCATGTGTGGCAAATAATTTTCTGAGTACTTTGATTGTGGCTGCGGTTGATGTGCTTGGAACTTTTCTCACTTCAAGCCATTTGGAAAAATGAATCAACCACTATTAGAAAGTAATTTCCCTCTATAGGGCTGCAGGATCAATGTAAATTCTTTGCCAGGGATGGCGAGACTGTGCGAGACAAATCCCGGTGCCCTATTAGGCATATTTCTTATCTCTTGGCATTATTGACATGCATTTATTAGGTTTTCGATTTGTTTATCCAGGTTAGGCCACCACAAATACGACCTTGCTGAACCCTTCATCTTTACTATGCTCGAGTGCGCTAAATGTAGGATTTCTAATAACCTTTTCCTCCCTCCTGGTGGGATGATTGCCGTGGTACCCCAAAGCAGGCAGTCTTGATAACATGTAATCCCATTTTTTGTTTGTAAATAGGGCGAAAATTCAGAGCTCAATTGTATATGATTTTTATCGTGGGGCCAGCCCCTCCATGCCTATTGGAGAACTGGTCCTTTTTTGTTTCGACAGCATTATAAATTTTCTCTGGTATATTTTCCAACATCAATACATCGTCAGATGGAGGGGGTTCTGAAAACCTGGCGTTTACAGGTAGCCTGCTCAAAGCGTCATCATTTCCAATATTGTAAGTCATAGCTGTAAGCATTTAATAAAATTATTCAGCGTAACATTCTAGCGGATATAACTTCTGAAATATGTTCGTTTTTTCCAAAAATATAATCGTGAATTTTTTTAACGCTTGTCACCACTGAAAGAGCCTCACGGTCAATTTGGGCAAAATTCCGTTCTGATGTTGATAAATGTTCTACTATGATACGCCACTGGTAATTCTACACCCTGTTCATTTGGCTGGCTCAGAATACATCCCACGCCGTGAGAGCTAGCGTCACAAGTCAATATTAAAAGTTTCTTCTCATTATGGTGCCCTAACAAAGGGTCACTTACTAGTATGTTATGAAAAATTACTATAAGAACTTTGAAACTTGTTGAAAACTGTGGTTTTAACGGGAAAAATAAAACACAACGACGCGTTTTTATAAACTTCAGCTACTCGACTGATTTTTATTTTTTAAACACTGTTGACATTTCACAAAAGACATATGACAAAATTAATTGTTCTCCCCAAACACTTTGTGAAAATGTCAGCTATCATCTCATTCGTGCTTAGATAGCTAACAATTCTAATTCCATTTTGTATAGCTTCTCGAATGAAATGATGTCTGATATCAATGTGTTTTGAACGTTCATGGAAAACCGGATTATTGCATAACTTCAGAGCGCCTTGATTATCATTCAAGATTGTCACACAATCCAATTTCCCACAAATTTCATTTATGAGGTAACGCAAGTGAATGGCCTTTTTTGAAGCACTGATGGCCATGTACTCGGCTTCCGTACTTGACAGTGCAACTGTTCTCTTTTTGCTACTTTTCCACCAGATAGTTTGAATAGATAACCTGTATAGGACTTCCTATCCACTTTATCAGACCCCCAATCAGCATCCACAAAACCCTCTAAATCAGAATCAACAATATCAGAGTTCCCTCCCTTCGTAAATGTTAATTTGAAATGATTTGTGCCTTTCAGATTTCTAAGTATTCTTTTGGCACACTGCCAGTGATATTCTGAATAATTATTATTGAAATGAATCAAGTGATTTACTGCAAATGTTATATCTGGCATAGTCAACACCGATAAATACATTAGGCTTCCTATAAGCTTCTGATATGACAAATCACTTAAATCACTTTGTAAATTATTTTCTGAATCTTTAATAGTTAGTGTGTCAATATTGCTGTCTAAAGGAGTATTTACTGATTTACAATTTTCTATAGGTACCAAAATTTACCAAAACTTCATCTATATACTTTTCCTGATCCAAGAAAATAGAATTATCTTTGTAATCCCTAGTGATTTCAACTCCCAAACATTGACTAGCTTCCCCCAAATCTTTAATATCAAACACTGAGCTTAATTTTGTTTTCACAGTTTTTACCTCTTCACAGTTATTTGAGAAAACAAAAAAACATCCATATAAAATGCTATCAGAGTCAATGAATTTTTATCCCTTTTTATAAAATAAACATGATTCATGTTTTAACTTAATGTAACCTAATTCCGATAAAACTTCATTTACTCTGGTATTCCAAGCTCTGGATGATTGCTTTCTTTAGACCATAAACTGCTTTCTTCAATTTATATACTTTGTCTTCCTGATTCTTAATTAATTGCTTCATATAAACTGACTCATCAAGTAAACCATTCAAGAAAGCAGTTTTCACATCAAGGTGTTTAATTTTCAAGTCTAATCTTACCGCTAATGCAATCAACAGCCTTAACGTAGAGTGTCTCACTACTGGTAAAAAAACGTCGCCATAATCCAAACCAGGTTTTTGCACACAGCCTTTTGCCACAAGGCGTGCACGATATTTCACTTCACCACGGTCGTTGGTTTTT